CGCGCGCAGCCTCCGGAAGGCGCACTGGATGACCGTGGCCGCCCGGTCCTCCGCAGTCGGCTCTACGGGGAACAGATAGAGCCGTCTCCTCCAAACGCCATCCCGGGTGTGTGCGCCAAGATGGACCCTCCCCACACCTGAAGGCAGGGCCCATCGTGCCCTTGGAACACACAAGGCAGCCCGGCCAAAGTCACTCCTGGTTGCCAGGGGCCTAAATAGGGCGCCCCTAGCTCCCACCCCCTGCCCAGACAGGCTGGGCCCACGAGTTGGACCAAGGGGTTGGTAGTGACCCTGCAGAGAGAGGAGGAAAGTGCCCCGCCCAAGTTGAGCAGCCCCAGGACCCACAGAGCCCCTCCCCAGAAGGACCCCTGTGTCCCAAGCCCCGGTCATCCAGAGGCCAAGTCTGGGAGAGGGTCCCCACCAAACCCCAGCCCCCAAGCCCAGCCAGGAAAGGGAAGGTCATCTGGGGACTGGGCTCCATCTGCACCCAGTCCCGCCCAGAGTCTGACCCTCTTTAAGCTATGTGCCCACAGGCACCACGTAACCTCTCCTTCCCTCCTCTGCACGGGCGGGCACAGGCAGAATCGCCCCGATGGCTGGCCACGCCCGAGTCCAGCAGCAGAGCCCTCGAAAGACAGCCCCGGGGACGGCAGCGCTCCCATTCAGGGCACAGGAGAGGCGACCAGAACTGGCCACTGCTACAGGTGACCCGGGAAGGAGGGAAGGTGCCCATGGGGTGGGCAGAGCCTGGCAGTCAGAGGGCTGTGGGCGGGCCAGGGGGGCTGACAGGCAGAATTGATGAAAACCTAAGTCCAGTGAAACACAGAGGGCACAGCACACGGAGGGGCAGAGGAGCCCAGCCCACCCCCACGCCCGGCTCTAACAGCCAAGGACAATCCGTCACGCCCCGGGCGGTGCTTATGAGGTGGGCTGCTACCAGCAAGGTCACCAGTTGGAAAGCACAGGCGTCCTGGAGACAGCTGGGCTTTTCTAGTGACGGGTGATGTGTGATCAGGAGGTGTCGGTGGGATCAGGCATCAGGCATTGTGAGGAACAGAAGGATTTCTCTTAAGTCGTCTCCCCAGAATATATGCCAGACTTAGCTTGTTCATTCGGCAGCGAAAATAGGTCAGAGGTTATTCTCCCTAACATCAGCCATCTAGAGTGGCCAGACTGTATAGTCTGACTCACCCCAAATAGGGCCCATTCCTTTCTGTTATTGTTCCCTTGAAGCAGTGCCCAAAGGCGAGCCCGGGACCACTCTAAGATGACTAGGTCATCCCCCTCCTGTTGCTTGTATCGCCTATGTTGCAATCCCTCCCTATGACGCAGGTTGTTGTGAATTGTATTGCCCCTCTCTGTGATGCATGATGCTGTGATGTATCCCCCTAAAGTGATATGATGCATGGTTAGCAATAAATAAGGAGGCTCCATGGTTCTCGGGAGGGGGCTGGCAGAGGGTGGCTGCAGAAGGTGGCTAAGGAGGACGAGGCAGCAGCTTCTTCTCTGATGGCTAAGCCCCCTCCACGAGGACCATCAAGC